ATGGGAAACTAAAACGTAAAATAATATTTCGTTTAAGACTTTTCCACTTTTATATGGTTCTGCTTTTATAATTAACTAAATGATACTATGTATGCTTTTATCTGTTTAGTTAATAATTGAAATTAGTTTTGTATTTTTAATTTAGGGACATTTTTGAAATCATCAAGTTTTGGCTACTGCTCAAGTCAGCAGATGGCTGAATTTAACCAACTTGCTTTTGTTTTCAAATTTGTGACCCCTTACTATGTTCTGATTTTCGTGATGTTCCTATTCCGAGTCCACCTGCAGGGCTGTGGGATTGTCTGTATTATGTAAAAGCCAGTCTCCGATGGAGTTAAAAACATCGTGTGTCATCTGGTAGCCTTTGTAAGCAAATGGGTATGTCTGGCTCCCAGTCTAATAGATGGCTTTATCGGTCTAGACAGTAGAGATGTTTCTGAGAAACTCTAGCATAATTTGATCAGGTCTTGATGCTGTGGTTTGATCAGTTTCTTCCCAAGATGCTCTGGGTTTGGGTAGTGGCAACTCATATTTCATTCTCCTTGTAAACTGATCTTTGAATAGCGACTTAAAATGAAAGAGGAAGCAATATACATATGTAGCCTGAAATTTACACATATATACATACACACATGCACATATATATATGTATGCACACATATGTACATATGTATACAGGGGTGGAGAGCTAAACCAAATTTTTTAACTGAGGGATTTGATGCCTTGCTGAGCTCACTGGAGTTAAAACCTTCACTGACACACTCTTAAAATTGTTAATCTCTTCAGAAATTAGAAGGGACTTAATTTTTTTACAGTCTCAATAAAACATCCAAGTAATTGCATCATCCATTCATGTAGAGCCAATTCCCAACAGCGGGGTATAGTACAGTATGAGTAACTGACGTGGACAAATGTACCTTGTTGCTTCTCGTCGGGGTGGCCACCATAGCCAAGGCCAGGGGGTTCAAAGTTAGTTCTTGCTGATCACATCCTTCTCTGTTTGGGAAAGGGTTTCTCCTCCCCTCCTCTGTCTCAACCCAAACTGAGAGGCACCCAGTACTGGAGGCCCCAGGTTCCCCAAGAAGCCTGTGGCAGCTTCTCAAACAGATTTGATTTAGAGTCCTCTGCGGGCGCTGTGAAAACGGCAGGTCTCACTTTCCTGAGTTTGACTGAAATCTTTGCAGCTCCGGGAATTATAACGGGAAAATTATCCAAAAGCCATTAATTAATTGAACAGACAGGCTAGAGCAGAAAAGGGGCTGTACTGCGTGTCTGGTGCTGAAAACCCAGGATGGACGGAAATGAACTCTGGGTTTGGGAGGTTTATGTTCTGCTGGGAGTGCGATGGGAAAGATGGCTGGATAGAAAGAATGCTCCGGAGACAGTGTGAGGGACAGATGTGTGGTCAGCACAGAAGGGGAACTGAGAGCAGGGCTTCATGCGTGTTTGCAAAATAAGACATGAAATACAAGCGGCTCAATTGGTAAGGAACATGGGACGGTTGAGACTCAAAGACACGAATTAAAGATTGGAACTGAGTGTCCTATCAGTGAGCGGGGGGGGGGGGGGGGGGGGGGGGGGGGGACAAATAATCTCCAAGGACAGCCTTAAAAAGGTGGAAATCTACAGATAAAAAGTAATTCTAAAAGCTTTTTTTTTTAAAAAGACGTAAAAAGGTTTAGAAGCCGGAGTAGCGTCCACCTGTCCATAGCTGCCCTCAAAATGAAAGAGGGGCTAAAAAGACGACTCAGGGCTTCAGTACATGTGTTGTTCTTTCCGGGGACCTGGGTTCTATTCCCAGCATCCTTGTGGAAGCTGACGACTGTAGCGAATCCCAGAGGATCTAATGCTTTCTTCAAACACTGCAGACGCCAGGCATGTACATGGTGCACATACATACATGCAAGCATAACACTTATACACATATAATAAAGAGATAAGTCTTGGAGAAAAACAAATTCAGTGAGAGTACTGGAGAGATGGCTCATTGATTAAGAGTCCTTGGTACTCTGCAGAGGACCCGGGTTCAGTTCCTGGCACCCACCTGGTGGCTTACAAGCATCTGTGTGACCCCATTTCCGGGAGATCTGATGACCCCTTCAGTTTCTGTGCACCCAGACACACATGCAGGCAAAATATTTGCACTCACAAAATGAATGGATAAGTTAATTTTAAAAAATGCAAAAAAAAAATAAAATATACTTTCACAGCTACATAAAGGATAATATCCTTCCTAAAGCAGCAGACAGGTTGCTAGTGGAGACTCAAAAACCCCATTCTGTGCCGTCTGCTCAGAGTCAATGAGAGACGAATGTCATCAAGGTGCAGAAGTAAACCAAGAAAGAGAAAATGAAGGTCCAAGGGCAAGGTTTTCCCTCAGAGGGTGAAGGAGAAGGAAGGTCTTTGATTAGCACAAGAGAAGAAATCCCAGTTACAGTCTGACCTGGGAAGCAGCTATTCCAGCCAGACTGAATCAAGATGAGGTGTTAAGAAAGAATGTCTCCATGAAAACCAGCATCTTCCTTCTTCCAGAATAACAGAGATTTGGTGTTTTTTGTTTTTTTGTTTGTTTGTTGTTGTTGTTGTTGTTATTGTTTTGTTTTACTTCTTTGAGAGTTTTGCAGTCCTGGGAGAATTTGATGGGTTGGCTAAGTTTGTCAGTAGCATGAAAAGCTAAACAAACAATAGAAGAAAACACAGGGGAACTAGTAACTCCAGAAGAAACAAAAGTTATCTAAGTAAGATAAAATTGCCACATGGCGGTGCTGGGAATAATATTGACTTTGCAAGCCTACTACAAACTGCGAATATTGACTTAGCCAAATGTTGGGGTTGCGAACAGAGGGGTTAGAACAGCCTAGTGCCTGAGCCTGTGGAGGCTGAGGATGGTGTGTAAGAGCTGACTCCCTCCCTGGGAACTGTAACAAGATCTGAAATGGGAAACGTTAAGAAGCGGCAGTGTTTAGTCACGCCCCCCAGATGTGGTAAAGAAGAGAGAATCCTCAAAGGAGCCGGCGTGAGTGGCTTTCTCAGCAGTGAGAGTTGAGCGGGGCACAGGGAGGCAGTGGGCTTGCCTTGTCTGCTAAGCTTTGCAGGCCTATTTAAATTCCTATACCTGATAAATTGATTATAAAAACATAGGCCTGTCCTCTGCCGCCCCGCGGAGAGCTAGCATAGCGTTTGACATTTATCATAAAAGCTTTTTGCTTTGCACACACTCTCTGTGTTGGTCGGGCATATTCTCCTACATTTTCTATAGACCTTCTTTTCTGCAGTTAACTATGGATTGTAGTGAGTCTGTATGAAACATCGCTAAATTAAATGTGTCAGTAGACTGCGCCTGCGTTCCCCACAGCCGTCCCCCTCCCTGTGTTTTTGTGCAGACTCCCTCTTCTAAACAGTGGAAGGCTCTAAACATTGAGGATAAACAAATCGCTTCATTTTTCTTTCTTGCCTTCTCCCTAACGTGGAGCAGACTTGGACTTGGCATAAGGAGTCAGCGTTCTTCAGTGAGCTGATGCTCCTAAAATGGGATGGCTAAGCCAGCTGCACGCTGAACTATCTTAGCCGCCTGCGTGCGTCTCTTGGCAAAGCACTGCGTTGTACAGGGAGACACTGGCTTTCTAGTGCTGCAGACTGCTTCCTTCTACCTTTTATTTTGGAAGGAAAAACAAATTCAGGCTTCATAGAAAATGGCCAGGGTAGTAAAAGGCCCGCGCACCCTTCTGGTTTGCTCTTAATTCTGTCACGTTTCTTTCTCCCTCTTACACGCCTGTGTTCCCCTTCCCTCGTGCGCTTTGGGGGGATGGTGTCAGAATCCTCTGAAAGAAAGGTGCAGGCAAAAAAAAATAAAATAAAATAAAAAAAAAATAAAAAAAAAGAAAGGTGCAGGCGTCATGTTTCAGTATGTCTCAATGTTTATAGATAGAAGATACATGCAGAGTGGCCGCACACTGCATTTTATCATAGACGCCTTTACGTTTATATAGCTGTTTTCTTTTCATTTGTTAGAAGTCGTTCATGATGGTGACCGTTGGGAGCATAAGCCAATTGTTTTATGGGTCCTCAAATATAGGTCCACCTTTCGCTGTTTACAGTCCGAGGAAGGGCGCACATGCAGATTCTTTTATCTACCGCCTGCAGCTTTTTATGCCTGCTCAGAAGCTTATGCCATCACCTGTGTGTCTAGGGTTTTGCTTTTCCTGCTAATTTATGGTTTAGCATAGAGGATTAGGAATGGACACACACCTGGGCAAGAGTAAGAGCCCTTCAGTCACAGAGAATCTCACTGAAGTAGTCTCTGGGAGGGGCCGTGGGTTCATCCGGAAACAAGCATAATATATATATTTTATTTAACGTCTTTGGCAGTATTCTTTGGGTGACTTAATATATTGTAAACAGCTACAACGTCTCAGAAAATAGGTTCTGCTATGGTGTGCAGCCTAGTGAGACCCGTTTGGCAGCACTTGGCCACCTTTTCTTTCACTCCTCGGTGAAACCTTGTTTGGAGTCTAAACACTGAATGCGTGTTTACTCTGCAGCGTTTTTTTTTTTTGGCTGTGCTGGCGCTAGGATGCGCACCGGCTTAGGCTGGGTACTTTTCCCGTAAAGTAAGGGCAACAGGGAGAGACGGCATGCCGCGCATGCCAGACGAGCTATGCTAGCTTACTGTTGAAAGAAAGCATGGTTTCTGTGTGTCAAGCCTTCCTGGTAGGAGACCTGGTGACACAGAAGCCTTTAGGCAGAGCTCCTCGGGATGTGTAGGAAGCGCTGTGACAGGTTCTGCCGCGGAGGAATCTGAGCCGTTCCCAAGCCTGGACAAGCCGTTGATGAATTTTGCGCCGGCTGCCAGGGTGAGAGCTTTCATTTCGATGTGTTCGTCTCGCTTTTCTTTCTGAAGTCATCCTGCTCTTTCTGGAAGTTTCACAGGACTCGGTATAAATATCGGCAGCAGGACTCTGACTTGTTTGTGATCCAGTGTCTCTCCTTTCTCTCTCCAGACTGCGTGGACGCTTACTACTGTCATTATGAGATGTCGTCTCTCGGCGCCTCCTTTGTGCAAATTAAATTTGACGACTTGCAGTTTTTCGAAAACTGCGGTGGAGGAAGTTTTGGGAGTGTTTATCGAGCCAAATGGATATCACAGGACAAGGAGGTGGCTGTAAAGAAGTTACTCAAGATAGAGAAAGAGGTAAGATCTTCTGCTACCAGAGGCCTCGCAGCAGCTTGGATATCATAGGCCCTAGGGGTCACGGAGCTGCAAGGGATCTGGCAGGTCCTTTGGGACCACTCCAAGAAGCTCTTTCCCAATTTCCATTTTGGGAACCTCATAAATAGAAAATATTGCAGTGTGTGCTTTAGGATTGAGTTCTACTAGGGGTTATTTGAAGCTAGAGGATTTCATTCCATGGTATAAAAGAGCCCGGTGCTCTCTATGTTGGCTGGCCTACAGAAACAGGCACGTTTGAGTGGTTCACTTCTCCGGGGCAGCCAGGAGGGAGCAGCACAGAGTAACAGGTAACATTTACATTGGTTACTGTTTTTACCCCTCGTGTTGGGGGTGGTCCCTAGTTGTTGTCTTAAAAAAAAAATAAGAGTATTATTTTTCTACTGAATTAAGCAATACTGGCTTCTTAGGTTTCTCTTCTACTGGCTCACAGTGGTGAGTCTTTGCGAAGTAAAGAATTAGGCGCTTGGCGGAGTTGCCTTTCCTTGTAAAATTAGAATAAGGTCTTGTCTTTTAGAGTCTGGAACTTGTGTTCGATGTGGGTGAGCCCTGAACTCTTGGGGTCTTCATCGTTCATAGGGATGTGGCGTGGATGTGTTTGGTACCACAGGAATTAAATAACTTGTGTAGGTGACCCATAGGCGTTAAGCATGGTAGCTTTCTCTTTCAAGTTCTTTTTAAAAATCTAACTGATCCTTTTAATTGATCCTAAGAACACACAAAAAAATTGAACGTCTATGAGCCTGCCATGTTAATGTTTCAACACGTGCACGCGTTGTATGTTGAAGTCATTGTATCCATTGCCTTGTATAACATTTCCTCTTCAGTGTAAACATCCAAATGTCCTCCCTTGGCTTTTTGAGATACACAGTGTATTACCATTGTCTGTCGTTGCCCTGCTGGTAGCTTCTAATATTTACCCTTTGGTGCTTTTTTTGGCCTTTTTTTTTTTAATATTTATTTTATTATGTATACAATATTCTGTCTGTGTGTATGTCTGTAGGCCAGAAGAGGGCACCAGACCTCATTACAGATGGTTGTGAGCCACCATGTGGTTGCCGGGAATTGAACTCAGGACCTTTGGAAGTGCAGGCAGTGCTCTTAACCACTGAGCCATCTCTCCAGCCCTTTGGCCATTTTTTTAATGTGCAGTTTTTGCTGAGTATTGTTCTTTTCAAGCGAACTTTTCCATAAATATGCGTTCTCCCCCAGTGAGTATCTTGGTGTTATCATTGACTGCCACCAGTGAACCATCATGACCGAATAGTGATGCCAGTCCAGTGTTAGCGTTGCAAGTTCCCCCAGCAGTGGCTGGAGCTCCTCAGTCCGCTCGCTTGCCCAGTGTTGAAGCCGGGACAGTGGCACTGAGGTGGCTCTGCCTGGGACTGTCTGTAGGTTTCACACGAAGCAGGAAGGTACTAAGTAAGGATCAGTTCTTGCATTAGAACCGTGTCTGGGACTGGACTCTTGGAGCTGGTACGTTTGCCTTATTGTCCCCATTTTATAGATTGGGAAGTGGAGCATTGAGAAGTGTAATAGCCACTCCAGTAGGAGCAGGTGGATTTCAGGAGGCCAGGCTTCCTGTCCGTTAGGATGTCACTCTGACCAGGTGAGTCCTATCCATTCACATAAGGATGTGTAAGTGGTAGGTTGTGGGACTTGGATACAACGAACTTCTTGTATGGTTATTGGATGAGGCAGGTTGTAGCCCATTCACTTCCTACCTCTCCCGCCTGTATGCATACATCGTCCCGTTTTTTTACAGTGTGAGAGGCCAAGGAAACGACACAGGAAAGCGCAGAGCGAAAGCGAGCGTAGGACGCTGCCAAATCCTGCTCTGCTGTGGCAAGAGCATATAACTCATGTGAGGAGGGAAAAGCAGAAACTCCAGTTCCGCTTAGGGGCCTGTTGTTGTCAGAGACGGTCATTATTCGGCTCCCGGCAAGGCACCCTGTACGGCTAAACTCACAGGAAGGAGTTCTACTTGGAAGTCTGCTGGGGCTACTGGAGGGGAAGCATGCTACTGGAGGGGAAGCGTGTGTCCCCGTGGACTTGTATTTCACAAGATATGTGGTGGCTACTGGCTAAGGGCTTTTTAAGTGATAAGAAAGGTGATGAGCTCCAGCTTCCCTCCCTCCCCCGACACCACGTCTGTACCCTCAATCCGCTCCTGGGTCGTTACTTTTCCAGTGAGTTGTAGAAGGAACAGACCGCTTAATACAGCTCCTGTAACTCACTTCACAGGACTCTGAGAATTACCTGACATTTGACAAATGTGTGTTCTATGAACGTAGTCAAATGTGGAGAATGTACATGATACATGACAATTTTTTTTTTTTTCAAGTTTCTCTGTGTAACAGCTCTGGCTGTCCTGGAACTCGCTTTGCTTACCATGCTGGCCTTAAACTCACAGAGATCCACCTGCCTCTGCCTCCCAAGTGCTGGGATTAAATATGTGTGCCACCACCACCTGGAAAATTATTTATTTACTTATTTTATGTGTATTGGGTTGGTTTTTTTTTTTTAACTTTTGCTGCCATGTAGGTGCTGTAGAACCTGGGTCCTCTGGAAGAGCACAGGACCACTGAGCCATCTGTCCAGCCCAGGCCAAATTCTTAAATTCGGCTTGTGTGACTATTGGCTTGTTCTTCATTTGTGACCTCTAGTGTAGTGAGGTACGGTACTTCCCTCTCTTTTAGAAAGTAAGCTGGGCGATGGTGGCACACGCCTTTAATCTCAGCACTCGGGAGGCAAAAACAGGCAGATCTCTGTGAGTTCAAGACCAGCCTGGCCTACAAGAGCTAGTTCCGGGACAGGGTCCAAAGCCACAGAGACACCCTGTCTCAAAAAAACAAAAAAACAAGAAACAAACAAACAAAAAAGAAAGTACATGTTACCTTTCTGCTGAAAATAGCAAAATTTACATGTACTTAAAATGTCTTTAGAAACCATTTAAAGCAAACACCAAGAAAAATTGCAAGACTGCCGTGACCTCTATAATACCACTTAAAAACATTTTGCAACATCTGCCTTTTCTCTTTATTTATGCTATTGACTTATATGCAGTTATAATTATTTTATTTTTGCTGGCTATGAGAATAAGTTACAGATGCGATAAGTGTTTATTCAAAGTATTTCAGCATCTCCTAAAAATCCAGGAAATTGAATGATCATATTACTTTATTGGATAGTCTGCCTTCAGATTTTGCCTTTTGTCCCAAGAGACTTTTATGGGAACTTTTTCCAAGCCAGGATGCACTCCAGGACGACAGATGGCATCTAGCTGATGTGTCTGTTTAGTCTGTTTTATTTGGGAACAGTTTCCCCTGCCTTTCTTTGCCTTTTAAGACTTGGACAGTTTTGCAAAGCAGAGAACACTTGTTTCGCAGACTACCCTTCCTTGTTTTGGGCTTACCGATTTCCCCTTCGTTTGGCTTATGTGGCTGTGGTGGGAATGTCATAGGGGTTGTGTGTCCTTGGTGGTCCTTGGTGCAGTGGCATGGGTATTGCTTGGCTTAGTTTTTCTGATGCTACACTTGAGCCTGTGGTTATGAGTTCACTCAGTTCCTCTGCAGTGAAAATGCCTATTTCTCTTTTGTGATTAGCTATTGGTAGCTACTTTGAGGCTATGTAAATGTTCTTCAGCCTTGCATCCCTTGATGATTCTGTCTTAGGTAGGACATTACCGTGTTAGTGTGCTGTGCCGAGAGCAAGAGCCTTTCCCCCCTGCTCCTCCTTCTGTACCCCCTTTCCATACTGGCCAATTGGTTTATTTGTTTATAGACAATTTTACACTCCAATTACAATCCATTACAGTTATGCAGTTTTGTACTTAAATTAGACCCAGCATGCAAGGGCTTCTTCAGGCTGGCTTCTGTGTCTTTTGGCATGCCCTGTTGATTTTTGGCGCTCTCCTTACTTACTGACACAGAAAGGTACCCCATTCTCACTTAGCTCCTGTCCCACTGCTGGGGCGAAGTCCTGAGTCAGCACCCCTGACTTGGATTTAGGAAACAAACTGGGGAGTACTAGCGGTACCTATTTTAGATATTTTTTTTTTTTTGAAAAAGAGCCTTTGTTTCTTAGTAGAAATGAGAGTGACAGGTTTTATTGATGAGAGTGTTTAAGGCTCAGAGGCCTCTGGGTTGACAGGTTCTGTGATGCGCTAGCTCATTCCGGAGGAGGGCTTAGAAAAGGGGAGCACGCGAAAGCAGGCCTCAAAATGGTCCCCTCCTGAGTCAGAAGTTGTACTTCCGGGACTTTATTCTAAGTCTGTCAATCAGTGGTGTGGAGAATAGGGATTCGTGTCAGGCGGGTGACGGCGAAGACTTGGAGGCTACACGGTGCTGCCTGTATGGTGACATCATATGCCATTCGGAAAATGCTGAGTGTATTGGGGTGGGATGGGGAAGACAGTTTATAAAACAGGCATATACTCGGTGTCTGTGGGCCGCTTATATTCTCCTTGAATGTCTGTGGTTTTCTATGATTTCATGCTTTCCTTCAATATTTTATTATGAAAAATTTCAAACATAAAGTGACTATCACAGTGACCATCCCTATACACAATGTATAGAATATATAATTAACACAAATATTTCATCACCTGTATGGCCAATCTCTACCCTCTTACTCCCCCCTCTGTCTGATGCATTTCACCCCGGCAGCCAGCATCCGCATCCTTTCCCCTTAAATACGTCGTCGTGTTTATTACTGGTCCAGCTCAGGCGTAGCTGCAGTCTGATTTTCCTCTGTGGTAGAGATGTGTGTCATGTCGTGAGGTTTTTAGAGATTGGATTGACCGGGACATAGATTTGCGTCTCTAACTGGGGAAAAAAATACATTTTCAAAAGTGCGGCTTTGACAGTCTGTAGCAGCTGCGCCTTGGGAATGGTGGGTGGATGGAGCCCCACACGACACTCATTGTCCAGGCTCAGGTTCATCTGTGGGATGTGGGACATTTT